CGGCAGCCCATCACTGTGAGTAATAGTAGTGTAATGTTTTGTTTCATTTACTGCTAATAGTTATCAGTGGCATTTTGTTATGCATAAGTAAGCTATGTTTCCTTATGGTGAATAACTGGAATTGAGCAATGATATCCTTAAGGACCAGAGGTTGTTCTGCTATGCTAGTGATGGGCCCGAGGCCATACAGTTATAAGCCACAGAGTGTGGACAACTCTAAGATTGAAGGAGGTGAGGACATGCCGATGTCTCACCGACCCTAATATGATTCGAATCGATTATGATTCATGGCCAGAAACCAAGGGAGGTAGTGTACATGTCGATGTTCTACCTACCCTCCAATGTGTGGACAACCGTTGAGATGTGGACCTAAGGCCGTTCTGTATAATATGTTGGGCCTGAGGCCGTTTTGTACATATGTGGGCCCAAGGCTGTTCTGTATAATATGTTGGGCTTGAGGCCGTTTTGTACATATCTGGGCTCGAGGCCATTCTGTATTACATGTGGGCCTGAGGTCGTTCTAAAATATGATTATGATTAAGATCTGTGTATGGTTTGAGATGCATATTTACATTCTCTAAGACTATGCTCGTTTAACTAACCTCCTTACATTGTTATTATTCACTGAGCCTTACTCACTCCGTTTTTATGTATATTTATGTAGGTGAGCCATTGGAGATTGACACTAGAATTGTATTGAGATCTACCTGTCTGCGAAGCCGCCTGGGGTACGCCTCCGTGTTGAGGCCTTAATTTTGATTACTGGGAATTATGTAATTTTTGGAGTCTTATATAAGTGTGTGTGTGAGATCTATATAAGTTCTGTGATTGTATATATAAATATGGAAGTGTGTTTAGATGCTTTAATTTATTTAAGTTATCATGTATGTACAAGCTCAATGGGCGTTATCTTTATATTGGTATTTGCTTCCGCTTAAGGCCCTGTATGTGAATAAATATTCGTAAAATTTTGTTTTGAAGCCTATGTATAGGCTGGTCATGGACCAAACTTTTAGGGGTAGGTTTGGGTCATGACATTCAAAATCTTCTAGGGCACTCCGAACCCTTCTATCACATTTTAGAGTCCTCTAGCATACTTTGGCATGTTCTTACACCTTTTGAAACCTTTCAGAGCCTTCCATAAACTTCAAACGTTGCGTCTTGTGTCACATAAATTCTTGAGGCGTGATAGTGTGCTCTATTCCACTTGATCGGTGCTTGTTTGGGGAATAGAGGCATGAGATTCACTATGAAATCTAACAGAATTATAACCCTGTTTGGTTTGAATTTCAGAAATAATTTTTAAGAGCCCAACATTGAAAGTTCATTTGTTTAGAATTTCTTTCAAAATTATTCTAAATTTATCTCTATTCCCAAAACTATTTCAAATCAATTTCACATTTATCTCTGTTTTCAAAATTGTTTCAAATTTATCTCTATTCCAAAAACTATTTCAAATCAAATTATCTCTATTACCGAAGTTAAATTAATTGAACCAATATCTATGTTGAAATATGCGGTACATCATATTTTCAAGTTAAACGAATTTTTTTGGATGAAATTTTGTAAATAAGTTATTTGCCAGTTCATATAAAAATTCAAAACAAAATGAATTTGTATTTTGAATTAATAAAAAAATATTTTTGAAAATAGCGATTTTTTTTTTTCTTAAATTTAAATTTGGATGACCAATGTGGAATGAGTAAATCATTTTTAATGCTTTATTTGGTTTTAAAGTATTTTTTTTTTAAAAAAAATGTGTTTTTAATTTGTATATTTATTTATAATATATATTGGCCAATTTTTATTTTTATTTTTTAGATACATCTAATCTAGATATACATAAAATGTAATAAATATATAAAAAAGGAGAAGAAATCCTTAAAAAATTTAATAAATAAAAAATGTATTAAAATTTGAATATGTTTTTATATACTTGTTAGTATTTAGTGATTTAAAAAATAAAAATCATAAATTTTATACGTTTTAAGTGCATTTAGATTAAGTGAATCTAAAAACTGAAAAATATTGATTAAAACATTTAAAAAGTTCATGAAAAAGAAAGTACATTTAGATTAGATACATCTAAAAATTATATTTAGATGAAGTACATCTAAAAAGCATAAAATAAAAAATAAAAAAATAAATGACTAGAACAATAAAAAAAAAATTCACTAAAAATAACAAAATATGAAAAATAAAAAACTCAAAAATTAATTTTAAAATTCAAAATCAAACAAATTTTAAATTTTTAGATTTATAAAATAATTTTTCAAAATATACAAACAAACAAATTTTTTCATTTCATTTGGTTTTAGTCAACTTGTTTGGTTTACGGACAACTCAAAATCACTTTTGAAAACATACCAACTCAGAATCCACTTCTTTAAGTTGTCTTGTGAACTGCAAAAAAAAAAAAAAAAAAAGCTTTTTCATGGAAAGGCGTGTAAAATGTAGAGAAATATGTGATCTAAATTTGCCAATAAATCAATCAATTGACTCTTTTTTTTTTTGACATTTCCTAAGAGAGGCCTCGATACAATTAGAAGTGAGATTTTCTGACTTTTGATTAGATATAGCTGACAACACATCTCCTCAACTCTTCAAAGCTCTCACCGCTTGTATTGGGGGGAAGTTATTGGTGGGCCTTGAGGTATCGTTAGGTGGTGTTTCGATAGTATTGTAATAGTTAAAAGAGATGAGATTTACGATTTTGTATTGAGTAATTAACAAATATGAGAAAGTATGATAGTTTACACTTAGTGAAGAGTAGAGTATCGCCATGTGACATTCTTGAACCAATCAGTAATTTATAATTTTTTTTTGTATTGGGGGGCAGTTACTCATCTCCTTTAACAACTCACTGCTACAAATTAGGTTTTTAGTGGCGTTTAAAAAACGCCGCTATATATATAAAAAACGCCGCTAATTGTTTTTGTGGCGTTTAGTACTAAACGTCGAAGATGCGGCCGTCGCCATAACTTTATGACGCTTTAAAAGCGTCGCTATATTTAGTATAGGCGGCGTTTTTAAAAAACGCCACCAAATGTCCTACCCTAACAACATTTTGACATCACTATGATTTAGCGACTTTTTCATAACGCCGTCATATCTTTTTTAAAAAACTGACCGTTAGCTTTAGAATTTAGGTGGCATTTCTCAAAACGCCGTGATATCCTCTTTTTAAAATTTTTTTTTAATAAAAATTGTGCTAATTTTATGTGATTGAACTAAAAAAATACCTTTAATAAAATTGAATAGCACTAATATGAAATAATAACTTGCATTCAAATAGTAAATGTATCATTAATTCACTTTCCCATTCAATTTAATATCCAATCATCATTACCCACAAAATAACATATCCAAAAATTGAATTTACAATTCTCAACCAAAAAATCAAATGATTCATAAGCAAAGGACCTGATCCTTGTATTTTACAATAATGTTTTTATGTGCGTAAAGCACATGCTTCTTGTTATCACTTGTTATCACGGTTCTTGTCACGATGCAGCTCACCAACAAAACCTATAACATTGACATTATGATAACATAAAGCATTGAATTAAACATCTGAAAAGACTCAAAAATTAAAAATAAGTTTAATAATACAAGAAGTATAATACAAAAAAATAAAAAAATAAAAAAAAAATTAAATTTGTTAATACATACCCTAAAGCCGGATAACACATAAGTAAAACCAAACTAGCATCAAATAACTTGTAAAGGACATAAAATGAGACCCAAATTGACCAAAAATTTGCTTGGATCAGGCCCATAGGTACTAAAACCTTTACAAATTCCAAACTTTCACTTTCTAGTTTGCATTCTCTACATCATGTATCTCCCTATTCTCAGACAATGTTAGCAATCTCTCAACTTCAACAAGAGCTTTGCAATTTCAATATTTTCTAAATTAGGACATTTCAAAGAATGATAACATTAAATTAAAACTCAAGATGGTATATAGCATGGAAAAAATACCAAAATCTGCAATATTTATTGATATGAAATTCTCAAAAGCAACCATTCAAGAAAATAAAAGACATCAACAAATATCAAAAACGCAATAAAAGTCAGGAAACAAAATACATACCTGAATAAATAGCCGATGGAGGCATGTGAGCATCACTGAAACTTGAGGATTCAGGCCAAATTCCTGCTTTAAGCAGTGCTTAAAATTAATTGCAATTTCATAGAGTGTGAGAGAGATATGTTGCAATTCAATATGTTTCACAACAATTTGAGAGTTGTGTGTGTGAAAAAGAACTCTACTACAATCTTAACAGTGGCAAAAGAGACCGGCACGCCTTTGTTAGCAAAAATAGTGACAAAGAGAAGATTAAAAAGAAAAGTGGACTAGAATGATGAGTGTTTTTTGATTAAACAAAATGAACCTATAATTTCTAAAATCATAATGAAGAGTGAGGAAGGGCATTGTTAGCTCACATACTTGTGACTTCAAACAAACAGGGCATCAAAGAAAATGATAATGGGTACTCATTAAAGAATGAGCAAGTGTTGTATTCAATGAGCACAGAGAGTCAGTTTGTTTTCTACTCCTAATCCTAGGAAGAGCCCAAAGGTCATGTCTCCATAATGAACTAATAAATGAACATTGTCTAATTTATGCATACACATACAGTGATACTAATCAATGAAACCAATTGTTCTCGATAGAAAGGGAAAGACAACTAACCGGTCAATGAAGCCGATAACGACATTAACTTGGTTCTTGGTAGAATACCCAGGGATTTCCATGGTTTCTTCTCCCAAAAGACCCATGAAATCCCATGAATGAGTTGTGTGAAGCCTCCTGCGGTTGTTTGGAAACACCGACACCACTCCAAGCATCTCTGTGTTTCAATTTTTAAAACCATGACATTGATTTTTCAGAGCCATGGATATAAATCAATCAATTATGATGAGAAATGGTAAAGATAATATAATAATAATAATAGAAAACATCAACATCAGCAGCAACATTTTTGTTCTTCCAAAGGTCGCAAGACACCCTTTGGAACTTAAGACCTTTGTTGCTGAACAGAGATGGAAGACCTCAATATGGTGTTAGCTTTGGCTACAAAACTGGCACTACAATACTGTTATTTGGCTCTTTTTTCCTGATCACGAAATGAAAATTTGGAGGATGTCAACTGCTACACTTGGTGATCTGGTCCTATAAATCAATTGCTTGTTGGGCTCCCTACATCAGGTGATTCAGCATTCTCAATCTTCTCAGCCGCTGTAGCAGCTGCTGATGCAGCCTTGTCCAAACCCAACTTTTGCAGCTCATTTCAAAAAACCATCAACATCGGTGGCACTAATTTTATACGGGCTGTGGGCAGGGCCTGGGAATGAACCATTTGTTACTTCTTCCTTGTACTCTGAAAGAGCCTTGTTAATGACATCTCCAACTTGCCCATACTGCTTGCAGAATTTGGGGGTTACCTGCAAAAGATAAAGCAGTTTTTGTTTTAGTGGGACATATAGCATATGAAGAACATGAGATTGTTAAGCAAGAGTGGCAACAATGGAATTGACCTTGGCATGATGTGGGTGTTGCATCATTCCTAGTAGATCGTGGTAAACTAACACCTGCACTAGAAAGAGATTTTTAGTAGTGTCCTGAGCTGCCAATAACACAAATTCAATTTATGTGAAATAAGAAGAAAAAAAGCATGCATGACACGTGGGCATAAGTTTATTATTAATAAAATAAGAGACATAAAACGTAGTCTTTTAAGAAAAAAAAGCATGCATGACACATGCCGAAAGTATTTGTTCCCCTCCTCTCCAAATTTCCAATATTCGGGTTCATGATACTTGACATTCCTATGGAGGAAACAAGTAGTCGGAAATGAGAAAGTCGAAAAGGTGGTTCAGTTCATGAATGAAAATATCGGATACTTGTGGATATGTATTAGATACTTCCCTACTTTTTTTCATAATTTATCAATTTGATGTATCTAATATCTTATGCATGTGTCCCGTATCCGTATCTATACTTCATAGAAAGGGAAAACTATAGCATTCACACTTCAGCATATCAAGTGTGAAAAGGAAAAGCACATGGGCAACATAAGCAGTTTAGACTTGATATTGCAAATGAAATTTTTGTAGGACCTACTAGAAAATTAAAAAGTAAACTGCGCACTAACTCTTAAACTAATACATAATTTCTAAATAATGGTGAGGGCAAAATTTATAAAAAAAAATAAAAATAAAAAAGAGTGGCGGGGAAGCACATACCCAAATTGATATGAACATCATCATCCACCTTTACATATATTTCCGTATCCCATTTTGCAATTGCTATGGAAAAGAAGATTTTTGTCTTTGCTGATAGTTCATGATACCCTTCAACATGCTCCTGCAACAATAACATAACATTGTTCACCATCCTTCCTAGAAACATACATTTCATGTCAACAAAAAAAAAAAAAAGCTTTCCTTACAAGCCTAAGAAAATCTTTATGTTGAGCATCCTCTGAGTCAATTGCTCAATCTAGAATGCTGTTGGATGTTGCGCTGCATTGATCAATACAACAAGAAAGTTAAGGCCATATATTATTATGTATGAACCAGAGCAATCTTGTGTTGATTCAATCTCTGTAGAAAACAATAACACAACTGCTATTTTCTTCAAGGCATTGAAGTGTAATTAAGGTATAGAGATTCAAGAATTGCTCATATGAAAAATTGATTTTATAATTATTATATTGTATTCAATTTTTCAATAAAAGCAGACATCATGTCAAATATCAACAATCTCAGCAATTTAATCAAGCACATGTGGCCTCATTTTTGGGTGCTTTCTTCTGAGAGGAGATAAGGACATGGCGCATGTGGAATGTTTCATTGCCTAGGTGGACCAATTTAAAGGAGAGCTCGTGACAAAGACCATGAGGGTGACCTCATTATCCACTTTCCATTTCCATTTTGGTTTCAATAACTGGCATCTTCTACAGCTGCTAGAGAGATGGAGAAAAGTAACCAATGATTCAGTTTGTCATGTGCTGCAATAGTTAAGTGTTATTACTGATAATGGTACATTGAGATGGCCATCTGCAAATGCAATTCAGCTTACGAAAATTAGGAATTAAGTGCTATTCACATTTCAGCTAAATTTTCTACAAACGATAGGCTTAAGTGGGCTGCATCATTTTAAAGATAAGATCACTGTTGCTTCGGCTTTGAAACTTGTGATCATCTTGAGTTAGCTGGGCTCAATTGTTATGGCATTCCAAGGCAATTTCAAGGGCTGGTTTTATTCTCTACAGGACTATAGGGTTTGAAATGTGAAAACTATTTTCCTAGTCAACCAATTAAGTCTCAAATTTTTTGTATAATAACAAAGTACACTGCGCTTGAAAACCAAATTATAACCAAAACAGATCAACCTCCTTTGGATTTCATTCCTTTGTTTTTCTCAGCAAACAAACAGAGATGATTGTGCGACCAATGCCAAAAGTGATGGAATCTAAATTATCTGTAAATTGCGTTACTCTGTGAAGACTTAGAGGAAGAAGTATTTATAGATGTTCCACCGGGCTTTGAGGATTTCTCAGTGGATGGGAGTGTGCAAGCTTAAAAAGGCATTATATGAGTTACAAAGTGTGCTTGGGCATGATTTCAGAGGTTTACTTGGGCTATGCTTAGATGTGTTTATCTCACTAAGAACATATGTTTTCGACCTTCTTAAGGACAAAGTGTGCTTGGGTATAAAGCTATTGATACCATGTTGGAGCAGAATTGCATGTTAGGGGATGAAACTAAAGATTCATTTGACAGGGAGGGAGAGATATCAGAGGTTGGTTGGTAAGTTAATTTATCCATCTCATACTTACCTAGATATATATTATGTTGTTAGTTAGCCTAGTGAGCCACTATGCATAATCCTATTAATTTTCATTCGGCTACCAAACAATTTAGTAGCCGAAAGTAGGTATACAACGACTAAAATAAATTTTGTTGCCGAAACTTGACATTTGGCGACCAAAAGTTTGGTCGGGAAAGATTAAAAATTAATTTTTTAATTTTCATTCGGCTACCAAACAATTTAGTAGCTAAAGGTACCTCTACGGCTACTAAATTTTTATTTAGTCGCCAATTGTCATATGGTTAGCTACTAAAAATTGTTTTAGTCGCCAATTGTAATATATTTACCTACTAAATTTTTTTTAGTAGCCAATAATCAACATTCCCCTACTAAACAAAATTAGTAGCTAAAAAGTTGACTTTTGCCGACTAATATTATTTTTGGTAGCCAATTTCGTGACTTTTGCCGACTAAATTATTTTTGGTAGCTAAAAGTGGTCGGCAAAAATGCTTTTTCTTGTAGTGTCTAAGTTGTCTTGTGAAGTGCAAAAAAAAAAAAAAAGATTTTTCATGGAAAGGCGTGTAACATGTAGAGAAATATGTGATCTAAATTTGCCAATAAATCAATCAATTGACTCTTTTTTTTTGACATTTCCTAAGAGAGGCCTCGATACAATTAGAAGTGAGATTTTCTGACTTTTGATTAGATATGGCTGACAACACATCTCCTCAACTCTTCAAAGCTCTCACCGCTTGTATTGGGGAGAAGTTAATGGTGGGCCTTGCGGCATAGTTAGGTGGTGTTTTAATGGTATTGTGATAGGTGAAAGAGATGAGATTCACGATTTTGTGTTGAGTAATTAAAAAATATGAGAGGGTATGATAGTTTACACTTAGTAAAGAGTATCGCCACGTGACATTCTTGAACCAATTAATAATTTATATATATATATATATATTTTTTTTTTGTATTGGGGGGCAGTAACTCATCTCCTTCAACAACTCTTACTAAATTTTTGTGTGTCTATATAAATATATATTTGTATTTGTTAGTATTTAGTAATTTTTTAAAAGATTTTATTCATAAATGTTGTAATTTTTAAGTGTATTTAAATTGAGTAAATCTAAAAATTAAAAAATATTGATTAAATATTTAAAAAGTTCATTAAAAATAATAAAATATAGATTGAAAACTCCAAAACCAAAAAAAGTTAAAAATTATTTCAGAATCTAAAAACCGAATGAGTTTTGGATTTTTAAATTTGTAAAACTATTTTCAAAATATACAATTAATTTTTTTTTTTGTTTAATTAGAAAAGTCAAAATCAGACTATATATAGTTCTTCATATTTGGAATTACTTAATCTTAAAGGGGTGTAAGATAGAAATTGCCGAACTAATCCATTTCTCAGATTAATTATTTAAAAAATGAAATTAGCCCATGTATATAATATATTTTTTCTTATTTATTTTTGTCTTCGATTTTTAGTTTATGTTGTGAATAGATTGATCATTCAAGTATGATATATTAATTAATTTATTTTTATTATTATTATTATAAGTTTTGAAGTGGATTATATTTTGCAAAACATGTGTAATATATATTTTTTTAAACATAATTTTTTTTAATATGTAAATTAATCTCAAGATATATAATAGTATTCTTTCACACTGTTTTTTTTTTCCCCCCCTTTTGTATTAGCAAAATAATAATAGAAACATGTCCCTAGCCCGAGTCAAAAAATAAAATTAAATTAAAATGTCAGTTTAGCATTGTCATTGCATAGTAAACAATTTAAAAAAACATGTTCTCTTGAGCAATTATTCTTCCTCATAATTTTGCAACCAAACATGGATTCACTAGAATAGTTATTTTAAGGGCCTGCACTTGTCTCCGGTCCTAATCAGATTGGGTCATGTTGTTGGGCTTTCATGGGTCCACCATAGAGTCCAAATTAATGATCCAAATCGTTTAATGGGTAAAACTCATCGAGTACTTCATTCTTGAAAAAGAATCACATTGATCGGATATCGATAGCTACTTGATCAGTTAGTATTTCTATCAAAGGTAAATATGATTTTTTAAAAAAATCATTGATAGAAATGTGAACAGATCAAGTAGCTATCGATATCTGATCAATGCGATATTTTGCATGGATAAAGTATTCGATTAGTTCTATATATTGAACGGTTTGTATCTTCGATACACACCCGAAATGGGTAATAAATGGGCCAAACTACACGGTCCAATTGAGCTGCCCAACTAGAGATAATCCAATCCCTATTTTAAGACATCTAATCCAATGATGATAAAATAAATACGAGATATATATCATTTCTAGTCCAATGATTTATACACTAATTATTTCAACATAAACAATACATTGCATTACAATCGTATTTATTTGAGTCTTTCGAACAAATAAGGCTATATATGCACGGGTCCCTTTTCGGTTAGGAATTTTTTGTGATATAAAATAATGGTTTTAGGGTGGCCCAAAGTTGTTTGAGGCTCAAGGTGAACTTTTTTTTGATTAAATAATTAAATGCTTATACTTTTTTAATTTGTAACACTCAAACAAAGTCTGCTTATATATGTATCATTATTAAAATTATTTAATAAAATTTAGTTATATACCAAGATATGAAAAAATTTATTACAAAAATTCTAAAAGATGAAAGTATGATTTTGTGGCTTTATAACCAAGTAAATCCAGTTTACAACCAAAAGAAAAAATGAAAATCTAAAGTTATAATGACAGATAAAAGTGGAACCAACTACATTAGTTAATTTTTTTTATCGCATTTTTAAATATGAAATTACTAATTAAGTTGTATAATCTACCGCGTCTATTATATCCATTTC